ACGAAATCTGCACAGACTCGAAAAGCTTGTTTGCCAACTTACGTCACCTATGGCAAAGGTGAGATATCCGTCTCTCAATTAAGGGACGAGTATACTGCGCAGCAGTTCGATCTGTTCTACTTTACGGCTGCGAAACGCGACCATTGAGGGTAGAAGATACTTGCAAGCTACTAGTCCCGACCGAAGCTGCTACCTTGACGCGGTGGTCGGGCTTGCCTATCGTGATGACCCAACCGAGCTATATTGGCTGGAACATATGTTCCTGTAGGTTCTACCATGCCAGACAGGTCGATTGGTGAACGGTAAGACTAAAAGCAGCAACTCAAGGTCTGAGGGCGAAGTCGTACTGCTGACTGTACAGAGGTGTGACAGCAGTAAGGTGTTTCCCTCGGACAACCAGCATGACAGCGATGCTGCCTTCCCACAAGGAGGGGTGGGGTTAGAAAAGGTCGACCCTAAAAATGCACACCTCACCTTACCTCACGGATCTCCGTCTCCGGCGGTAAGGCCCTTCGAAGAACGGAGCTAACACGTCTAAAAAACTCCACGAAAAGGCCGTGCGCGACCGGCCTCAAGCAGTTGTCGCTTGGGCTCTGCGGTCACGCTCCCGGGTCGTTAAGACCAACACTAATCCAATTTCCTTTTCAGGTTCCTCAAGAAATACCCTTCCACGGTGTGGGCAGCCGGGAAGTGACATCAGCCCTCATACCCGTAACAGCACACGAGACCAAGTTGGTCACTTTCAAATCCTTCCTACACCTCCTAATACCTTTCTTATCTCCATGACTAACCCTCCTCACGTCTGTTTATCACCTCGCACCGCTAGAGCAAACGATTCGAGTACGTGGAACGCCATTCCTGGTCTCCTGAAACCACGCTCTAAACTACACGTAGGAGCTTTTAACGTACGAACACTTTGCCAAATAGGACAGCAGGCTTCCTTAGGTAGGACTTTAGAATCTCGCGCCATCGATGTGTGCTGCGTCTCCGAAACGCGCATACAGGATCCAAGTAGCGTCATTCATTTGACCTCATCATGCCAAAACAAAGAACCAAATCGATTCACACTCCGTGTATCTGGAAGCCCTGATGCTGCTTCTCGTGGCCTCCCCGGTGTAGGTATAGCATTGAGTCCTAGGGTAGAACTAGCTCTCTTAGACTGGTTACCAGTAGACAGTCGTTTGTGCGCTGTCCGGCTGAACGGAACAATAAATACAATAAGGGACACTCGTCGTTGCCTCTTCGTCGTCTCTGCCTATTTTCCCACTGACTGCAGCGCAGATGATGTAAAAGATGAGTTTTACAGAAAGCTTTCCGAACTTCTCCGAAAAGCTAAGCGCTCGGATGTAGTAATAGTGGCCGGTGACTTTAATGCTCAAGTAGGTAAACTAAGCGATAGGGAAAGACACCTAGGCGGATCTTATGGTGTCGTGGCTCAAAGAACAGATAATGGCGACCGTCTGTTGCAGCTCTGTTCAGATAACCGCCTGTTCCTTGCAAATACTAACTTTAAGCATAAGGAAAAACACCTTTTAACATGGCGACCCCCTAATTCGTCCCAACGTTGGACCCAAATAGATCACATCGCTATCAGCCACCGATGAAGGGGCTCGATAGAAGACTGTCGCTCATTCTGGAGCACATGCCTAGATTCAGATCATGCTCTAGTACGAGCGCGTATTTGCTTGCGTCTTACTGGACGTAGGAAAGACGCTGCGAGGAAACCTCTTAGGGGCCTACTTAATGATAGACAAACTAAGAGTATATTTCAGTAACAACTAGGAAAACAGTTGGGCAGCCATGTTGTGATGCCCACCCCGAGGCAGCATGGAATGATATCCGAAAAGCTGTGGAAACAACAGCGATATCTGCTAGTAAGGTAAACCAGAAGGTTAGGGAGCAACACTGGATCTCAACAGCATCTACCGCACTGATAGATGCTCGGAAACTCATTCCACCTGGCTCTGAACATAATGAAGAGCGGAGTCAGCTTAAGCGCAAGCTGACAAGAAGTCTACACAATGATCGTGAACAGTGGTGAGTAGCGAAATCAAGAGAGATAGAAAAGGCAGCGGCAATAGGTAACAGCAGACAGTTGTTCAGACTCGTTAAGGAAACCGGAATTAGGAACCCGACTGTTAGCGAAACAATCTCAGAGAAAGATGGACATATTATTCATTCTCAATCCAGGAGATTGGATCGATGGGCAGAACACTAGGGATCAGTTCAACTGGCCTTCAGCCACACTTCGGTTTCCCACGATCTCTAGTCAACCTGAATGGGAAGGTAATGTAGGTCCTCCGACTCTTTATGAAGTTGAAAAAGCCATAGGAAATCTGAAGCGAGAGAGAGCAGCAGGCCCTGACAGGTTTATGCCTGAGATTTTTAAGGATGGCGGTCCAGTATTAGCAATGAGATTAATCGAGGTCTTAGGTAGAATTTGGGAACTGGACGTAATCCCATCTGACTGGTCTGTCACTGATTGTGCCAGTCTATAAAAAAGAACAAAAGTCCTCTTGTGACAATCACAGAGGAATCAGTTTGACTAATATAGTGTCTAAAATATTAGCTTCAATAATACTTCGACGCCTAATTAAAGCTCGTGAAGAGCAGACCAGAGAAAACCAGGCTGGTTTTCGACCTGGACGTGGTTGTATAGACCAGATATTCACACTACGTCAGGTTCTAGAACACAGACACGTTCAGATGCCCCACAATCGTAGTATTTCTCGACCTTAAAGCAGCATTCGACTCTGTTGATCGTGAGGTTCTATGGCAGTGTTTGTCACTGAAAGGAGTACCAAAGAAGTACATGAACCTTATAAATGCTCTCTACTCGAACACAACTGGTAGAGTGAGAGCTTATGGCGAACTGTCATCAGAATTGATTACCTCAAGTGGTGTTCGTCAGGGCTGTCCACTCTCCCCATTCTTGTTCAACTTCGTCACTGACGTACTTTTAGAGATAACACTCTCCTCATCTAAATTTCCAGGGGTTGAACTTCTACCGGGAGATTCACTTGTTGACTTGGAATATGCCGATGACAGTTCTATTTGGTGAAGACGCTGACAAAATGCCGAGTCTTCTGACCACTCTAAGCAACAATGCAAGCATGTTCGGGATGCGATTCTCTCCCTCGAAATGCAAAATGTTGCTTCAGGATTGGGTTACATCGACACCCGAACTAGTGATAGGGAGTGAAGTAGTTGAGTGTGTCGACCGCTTCACTTATCTTGGAAGTCTCATCAGCCCTTGTAGTCTGGTTTGTGACGAAATCTCAGCACGGATACAGAAGGCTCGACTAGCTTTTGCCAACTTGCGTCATTTATGGCGTAGGCGAGATATCCGTCTATCAACCAAAGGACGGGTTTACTGCGCAGCAGTTCCTTCCGTCCTTCTTTATGGCAGTGAAACATGGCCGGTAAGAGTATAGGATATTCGTAGGCTACTAGTATTTGATCATAGGTGTCTTCGAAACATTGCTCGTATATCATGGGACCATCGAGTAAGTAACGCAGTTGTTAGGAAACGGGTACTAGGTAAGGATGGCAAATCAATTGATGAAGTAGTGAAACTTCATCAGTTGAGGTGGCTGGGACACGTGTTACGTATGTCCAACGACCGACTGCCTCGACGTGCTATGTTCAGTGGTATAGGAGTAGGTTGGAAGAAAGCTAGGGGCGGCCAAACCAAAACATGGCACAAGTCCATGAAGTCACTGACAAGTGGACTGAGTCATGTTGGTATGTGTAGACTACCTGGTTGGGGACCGCGAGATGATAGCAACCGATGGTTAGAGACCCTGAATGACATGGCTCAGGTGCATCCACTCTCTGTGTTCTCCCAAATTCTAATCTTCTGAATTCTTCATGTCCCTTTTTTCCTCTTTCCAAATTTATTTCACTGGATTATACTTTTTAAATAACATCTCCAAACCCTAATCTTCCCGATTACTGCTTATACTCTTATTACCTCTACCACTATGGGATTTGAATCGACAACTGCATCTCTGTGCTTATGTGGTGTGGCAACTCGAACTGATGTACGTACGTACGAAGTTCTACGTTGTTACTGACTGACTGACTGCAAGCTACTAGTATTTGACAACAGATGTTTTAGAAATAATACTGGTATCTGCTGGGCTCACCAGGTAAGTAATAGTGAGGTTAGACGTAGGGTATTGGGGAATGATGCTAAATCAGTTGATGAGGTTGTGAATCTTCATCGACTGAGATGGTTGGGTCACGTGTTGCGTATGCCTGAACACCGATTACTACGACGCGCAATGCTAACCGGTGTTGGGGATGGTTGGAAGAAAGTTGGGGGCGGCCAAAGCAAAACGTGGCATCAGCGCTTGAAGTCACTAACTTCTGGTCCGAGTCATGTTGGTAGATGTAGACTGCTTGGTTGGTGTCCGCGCGAATATCCTAACCAGCGGTTGGAGACTGTGGGTGGCATGGCTCAGAATCGATCACAATGGCGTCGGTGTATACACTCTTTGTCTTCCCTTAAACTGAGAGATTCAAATCGCTTTATATCATTCTACGTACTAATATATATCACTACCATTGAAGTAAGTACTATTAATCCGGTGTTAATCTTGCTGTGCTAATCCAGTGTGGCAACTTGGACCGATGCAAATATGTACCTGGTCCTACGTTGTAGCTGACTGGTGTTTTGTCATCAGATATTGAAAGCTACAGTTCCCAAACATTTCACAAAGTAACGAAATATGAACTATATATGCTGTGAATAGAAAACCAGAAGTATATGCTAATTAATCACCTGCAACTATATTGTGAACCGCGCTAAAGATTTTATGGCGACAGGTTAAGATCAACAAAGAAACCATACAAAAAACAATATTTTTTAAAAGTTGGTTTCTTTGATATAAACAGTGACTGGATTGATGATGGTAACAAACTATCCAGAATCAATTAGTCGAAAAACACTATTGACCAATGTTTTACAGCTCACACTCAAGAAGAACGAGAACTTTGATGTATAAATTGTATATTTGAAAAATTCCCATATTATAAATTAGGACGCCATATATAAGCGAACAATATTGTTTTCGATTGGATCGTCATCAGGCTTTAATCTAAGATACAGTAATATTTATATGCATATACGAAATTATTGAACCAATCAAGGTAGTTTGTGAGACAACGACAACAGTGTAATAAATATACAAAATAGGTAAGAGGTACAAAGTGATAGTGATAACAGGTGTACTAGTTGTGATAAGAATAATAAGTTTCATAATGAGAAATAGGTCAATGAATAAAAATTGTAGACACTGAAATAATATTCATAAAATTATAAGATTATGTAATAAGTGTTCAGACAATTGAACAATGAAGCGTGTATAAAAAAAGGTGGGAGGTGGTGAAGAAAAATAAGCGAACAAAGAGTATGGAAAATAATTACAAATAAAACCACTTAAGGCCAAGGGAGAGACAAAAATGTTGCAAATTGCTTATGAATACAAAGACTTGGATTGTTAGCTCGAATTCCTATAGCTTCTGAAATTTGTAAGAGATAAGATCGAACCCCGTAAGGAAAATTGGTAGGAATACGATAGTAATTTCGTATATACATATAAATAATACTGTATATTGGAGTAAAGCCTGATGAAGATCAAATCGAAAACAATATTGTTCGCTTACATATGTTGTTCTAAATTATGTCTGTAAAAAAACTAATTCAAAGTGCTCACCATATAAAAAGTTTAAATCGCCTCATGCTACTGCACAACTAAACTCAAATTTATATTAGCATATGAAAGATAAAAACACTAAAAATTCTTCAACATAAAAATGATATTAGTTTTCAAGAGAAAACGTGTTGATCGATTAACGTTAACATTCGTGGCTTAGTATGAAGTAGTCAGTGAATTAATTCTCTCTACACAAGACCAAACATAAATTGAGCCATTCCCAGAACCAACCACCAAAACATCATTATGATATTCCAGCTGCAAAAAGGTGAATAAAAGAAATTGTTTTCATGAGAAGACTTATGGGTCGTTTGAAAACTGATCATATTAGTAATAAGAATCTGCTCTTCAGTCCGTGAAACCACAGCGACTTAATAATGAGTTTTTTCCACAATCATTGAAGAGCAGTAAATTCAAATCATAAGATTAAAGTGTGTCTGAAACTCCTTAAAATCACATAGTTAAAAACATGATCGATTGTATATGTTCGGTACTCCAGAAAACAACAAAGTTGAGACCACGTTAGATGATCATTTACCATTTGCCCGCATAGTGTTAACAGTTATTATTTAATCTTATTAAAGAATAATTCACCTAAAAATGCAGTCCTCAGATTAGGCTAAGATAACTTTAAAAACCTGTGTGAATTCACAGTAATTGGAAATAAACACTGTAAAGAACATGTTTTTGATTACCTAAAAATATGTCATACTCGAAGTGAAACAAGCAAGGAACAAAGTTATGGAAAAATGTGGTCAAGACATGTCAGCTTACTAAAATAAAAACATAACGAGAATTCTGAGATAAAAAAAGATCTGTGAAGACCAAAATAAAAACACTTTTGTGCTTGACGATACTTATTTTCTCGTACACCCATAACTCAACGACAGTCTGTTATATACTAACAACTTGCTAAACGATTTCACTATAATCGTCACTAAACAGGCTGTTTTCGAAACACATCAGAAGGGAATCGTGCCAATCTTTGAGATTTTTTTAAACAAGGAGTTGGGTACAGAACATTAACAATTTACTTTGAGCTATAGCCAATAGGGCCATGAACAGACCTGTTTACTTGTTTGGGTTACACCAATCATGATAAAACACAGATGTGAAAAACCTCGGAGTTAGGACAAATAACTTACTGGTAGATTGTATATTGTCTACATAAACTTACTCTCAGCTAAGATAACATTTTCACCTGATATTATATAAAACATGAGTATTATTCAGAAGAAAAAACTGAATGAGAAGATGGAGAAATTAGTAAACAATCATATGTAAATATTTAATTTTCTGAAAGCACACAATTATTCATTTGCATTCAGGGATAATTTCCCAGATGAAGGATGGGTGGAAATTTTCATTAGTCAGCATCAATAGGTACAGTTAGTAAGAAATGATGTTGTGAAAGAAATTGAGTAAATTAATGAGATATGAAATAAATGAAGACATCAGAGGGTCAGTGGATGACTACTATTTTTAGGATATCGGATATATTACTGCTATGAATTCTCATATTACGACGCAGCTAATGTTATTGTTTAGTATTCTTGAACACTACTTCATTCGACAAGTCCCCAAAGCAGAACAAGGCTGAGCAGGAACGTAATTATATTCCAAGTAAACAAGAATATATGGAAATAGAAATCACAAGAAAAATAGTATATTTATAACTTTTACACAAGGAGACTCTAGAGTATTCTCCAAGTATCTACTAGTGCTGATGGATTAAGAAATAGCTAATCAGCGTGCCTAAACACAATACAACACAGAACACGTTTTAATCCAGTACTATATCCTGGTAACAATTACCGCAGTTCAAAAAAATAATGGACAGCCTTGTACTGATTTGAAATTCCAATGGATAGACTGAAACATGACGGGAAATATTTAAGGTTGACGAGCAAATAACAAGATCAAGACGACAGTCGATACATAAGTTATTCCATTACTGATTAGAGCTACTTTATTTATCGAGTAAAACAAATAGTTAAGCGATAATAACAGAGATCGCAATATCGTACTGAAAATAAATAAATTAGCGTCTATAACCTAAAGGCAAATCACATACACTAAATTGTAAATTATCCTAACAACAGTAGATAAATAGATTGAAAAAATGTGACGAAAACATGATTGATTATTTTCGTAGACTCAGCTACATAGCCATAAAATTATCTTTCATGAATTGCAACTGAGAAACCACGAATTACTAATTTTCAGTAAAAATGACGGCCTACGATTCGAGTTTTCGAGAATTCATTAAATCAGGGTTATAAACACCTCCCGACCGTGGGTGGGGTTATAAAAGGTCGATCCTAAAAATGCACATCCCGCCTTACCCAACGGATTTCCGTCTTCGGCAGTCAGGTTCCAACACAAACGGAGATAACACGCAGATTGCTCACGACAAAATCGTGTGTGACCGGCCACAAACAGTTGTCCCTTGGGTACTGCGGTCACACTCTCAGGTCATTAGGACCACTTCTAACCCAATTTCCTTTTCAAGTGCCTCCAGAAGAACCCTTCCACGGTGAGGGCAACCGGAAAGTGAAAACCTCCCTCAAACCTCTCTAGCAGTACTTGAGAACACTGTATTCATAATCAACCTCCCCCTTCAATTCCTGTTATTCCTCCTGTGTCGACTTCCAACTATAAACTTCCTTCTCAAGTTTCATCATGATCAATGATTCTAGTGCGCGAAATGCTACCCCAGGTTTCCTGAAACCGCTCCAAACTACACGTTAGAGCCTTCAACGTAAGCACCCCACGTCGAGTTGCTGGGCATGTTCAAAAATAAAATGCGCGAAATGAGAATAAAAAGCAGTATATAAGTGACGTAGCATAAAGGAAATAAAAACGCAAGTTATCAGATGATTGAGAATACAAATGGACTGAAAAAGCGTTGAAGCAAAAGAAATTTTCCCACTCGTGGATATCATTGATTTGTGTGAGGACTAGGATACTACACAAATACCCGAACCGTAGAAGGTACCTTACTTCGAGGCCATACGCCGAGCCTTTGGATTAAACGTCTGATCCAAACGACAGTGGAGCAACACTCTTTCGATCAATAGCTTCATTTAAACAATTGAGCTTTACTCAATTTATTTCTGCTTTTTATCAGTGTCCGATCATTGTGTAATAACTTTTCTCTAGCTCTTCAGTCTTTTGTTACTATAAACGTTGTAGAGAGCCCTTCCACATAAGATATATATTTGTTTTTTTATATAATCTAAGTTTTACATCCTTACTATTGTATACTGATGTGTGTTCAAAACTTCCAACCAAACTCATATACATAATTTCAATACATTTTGTAATTATGATTTGCGAACACTATAGGTTGTAAGCAGTTGACGAAAATCTAACGAGATAGAATAAATTTATGTTCTGTTCAAATCTTTGTTCGTGGTCTCTTCACGATAATAAAGAAAAGCATGTGGTTAGTTTCCTCGAATACAATGGTTTTTATTTTAATAATAACTGATATCATCCATATTAAGTTCGTTTTAATCATGTAAAAACAGAAATTTCGTTTATAGTTACTTTGTAGCTTTAAAAATTCACATGGCTTTAGTTATCTTGTTAGCGGTCTGCACTCTATAATGTTCTTCCACCGAACATTTAGACATAGCAATGGATGAAGTAGCTATTTATTTTGCACTGGACGCAGAAAAACTACACTAAGAAGACCCATTAGAATTGGACTCAGTTACGAGAAAGCTAAAAGTAGAATCCAGGAACAACTGAGGTCACACTTAAATAGTCCTGAAAACGAGGCCGACCCAGATGTTGCTTAGGAAGATAAACAAACAGCTGTGGAAACAACAGCAACATCTATTAGTAATTTAAACCAAAGGGTTATGGAAAACCAATGAATTTCTACTAGGTTTATTGCACTGATAGATTCTCGTAAACTCATCCCGTCAGGCTCTGAAGACAATGAAGAATGAGAACAAATCAGATCTACGTTAACCAAAAGTCTAAGGAACGACCGTGAGCAGTGGTGGGCAACGAAAGCAAAAAGATGGAATAGGCAGAGGCTGTAGATAACACTAGACAGCTCTTCAAACTAATAAAAGAAACGAATTAAGAAGTCATGTGTGAGACGATCTCGAAAAAAGACGACACTCTTATCTGCTCCCAGCCCAGACGTTTAGAATGGTGGGCGGAACACTGAGAGACAGTTCAGCTAGTCCTCAGCTACCCTGTGCATCTACTCAACATTCCCAGACAGCCTGAATGGAACATTGAAGTAGGTCCCACAACTCTAGCTGAAGTTCAAGAGGTTATAGCTAATCTGAAACGAGGAAGAGCAGTTGGTCCAGATGGATTGGCTCCAGAGGTCTTTAAGTGTGGTAGTCCAATTTTAGCGATTAAGTTGAGTAACATTTTAGCTAAAATCTGGGAGTTGGACGTAATCGCATCTGACTGGTTGCAATCACTGATTGTCCCAATACATAAGAGAGGGTTAAAATCATCCTGTGATAACCATAGAGGGATTAGTTTAACTAATATAGTATCTAAAATACTAGCCTCGATAATTATCGAGCGCCTAGCTAAGACTCGTGAACTGCAAACACGAGAGAACCAAGCTGGCTTCAGACATGGTCGTGGCTGCATCGACCACATATTCACCATTCGTCAGGTTTGAGAACACAGGCATGCTTATCGGCGTCCGACAATGGTGGTCTTTCTTGACTTAAAAGCAGCATTTGACTCTGCTGACCGAGAGGTTCTGTGGCAGTGTGTGTCGTTGAAAGGTGTAGCTCAGAAGTGCATAAACCTTGTCAAGGCTCTTTACTCGAACACTACCAGTTTAGTCAGAGGTTATGGCGAACTATCATCTGATTTTTCAACCTCAAGTGGTGTCCGTCAAGGCTGTCCACTATCTCCATTTTTGTTCAATTTCATCATAGACCTACTGATGGAAACAATGTTCTCGTTGACTGAATTTTCGGGAATTGATCTCCTACCAGGAGATCCGTTTATCGACTTAGAATACGCAATGATATAGTTCGGTTTGGTGAAGACGCTGATAAAATGCCCAGGATGTTTGTGATGCGTTTCTCTCGCTCTAATTGCGAATTGTTGCTTCAGGACTGGTCCGTGTCAACACCTGAACTAAGGATAGGGAGTGAAGTAGTCGAACGCGTTGACAACTTCACGTATCTTAGAGGTCAACCTTTCTTTTATATATATCACTACAATTGAAGTAAATACTATGAATTTGGTGTTCATCTTGCTGTGTTAATGAGGTGTGGCAACGTGAACCGATGCATATGTTTTCGTGATCCGATGTTGTGACTGACTGGATGATGAAACATCTAATCAGGTAAACGAAGATGTTTTGGTATACAGTATCACCATGTCAACATTTAATTAAAAATTAACACTGCTTTAATTTATTCTATTTGTTGAATAGTAATGTTTCAAAATAAAAGTGATTTAAGCTAGTTTGGTGTGTAACAAGAAGTTAGGTAGCTAACAGACGAACGTCCGTGAGCATGAACAAGTAACAGGTCGAGTATGCTAACAATAAAATGAAATTTAACCTTGAAATTAGTTGTACCAAGATATATGATAAAACCTAAACTCAATCACAAACTATTTAATTGAGACTATACATTCACATCCGAAAGCTTTGGAGTAATCAAGTAGATACTCATAAAGTGTGACAAAATCGCTATAAATCGATATCACTTAATAAACTTCGAATTATTGTATTAACATTTGAAAAAAAAACTGTAACAGAAGCTTTGTGTAACTGAGAAGTCGACTTTTCGTTAGCTTACGTGAAATTTTAGATATAAAATGGCAACAAAACAAAATGTCGGTCGATTTATCTTTTAGTATACATTATAAATGGAATACGGAATAGAAAATTAGATTTTTACATACACTTGTAGGAAGAGCATTAATTTTCTCAGCCAGAGGTCGTTTACTCAATGGCTTCACTGGATTGGTTGGATGATATGCTTCCACAGACCCATGCAAACCAGCAGCGAATATACATCCTAGTGTAGCCTTGAGGCCACCGAAACCACGATTCCATCCAGAAAGTTGGTTAGTCTAAATAATATTAAAGAATTCAGTAGTAAGTGATATACGCACAAGAACAGTGGAGTAGCATATTGAATTTTTAGCTGATAAAGATCAAAGACAATGGCCAATATCATGCGGTTTTTGTTTTCTAACACATGATCAATTTAAAATTATAGTTGAACTCAATACTTCCATTGTATTGATTTATTTATTGGTGTAATGTAGCGTTTGGTATACAATTATTCAAGATAGTCGACATAAATAGGGAAAACAGACGACAGAATTTAATTAACTTCGAGAAAATTCGCTAGTTTTTGTTCAGGCAATTAAGCTATCTTTGGAGACTATCCAGTGAGTTTAGTATATCCTACAATGCAGCTGGCGCAAGTCATACAATTTACAGTATTACTTATTCATATGATCGCCTAAAAAATTCATTCAAACTACTTGAGCTGCGACGTATCGAAGAATCAGCAACTCGACGATCGTATAACATTCCACAGTTGTCTGGGTCGATAGAAGTTTAAAACCTCACAAACTTCCAATCTTTCCGGAGTTAACACTACAAACCTGACCTCAAAGTAGGTCAATTGATAGTTTCACTACACTCTGATGGCGCTTTGAGGCCACCGAAGATATTATTTTCTAATGAACCTGATTACGGGAAGGTCAAGTAGGTATTTAACTTTAGTTGAACAAAACCAATACGTGCACACAAATCTAAATTTTTGCCACCCAACGAATCTGGTTAAACCAACAAAAGTGCATTAGTAATGTTCATAATTGGGACACTACTAGTCAAAGCTTACATATACACAGTTGAACTGGTTTTTTCGAATGTCGAACACGTGAATTCGATTCGGTGGTTCAGCAACCCATAATTCATACTTATCCAAGAGAGACAGCTTTCTTGGGTAACGACTGAGCTGAAATGTTAAGATGGATGAGAAGTTACTATGGCTATCATATATAAATGCGTAAAATCTAGTCTTGTGAAATAAAGTACTCAAAAGAGTAATACATTATTGGAGAAAATAGATCAGACCACATGATGTACCGAAATTAACCTGATATAGTACTGAAATATTTGACATCTATACATAAAAAGTACTATAGAATGACAGAGTTTAACTAATATGATGTCTGGAATATAACCCTCAATAATACTTCTGTGCCTAACTAGAGTTCGTGAACAGCGAACCCGAGGAAACTAGGTTGGCTTCAGACCTGGAGGTCGATTTACAGACCAAACATTTACCCTTCAGCAGGTTCTGAAATATTGGTACTTTTCGACGTCTGATAATAGTTGTATTCCTTGATCTTCATATGGAGTTCAACTCCGTTGATCGTGGGATTCTGTTGCAGTGTTTGACGCTAAAAGGTGTATCAAAGAGGTATATTAATGATATTTCTTCCAATTGAACGCTAGATTCGCTTCTTAAGCTCTTCTAGTAACGCCCAGACTAAATCTACACAGCGACTCGAACACGAGAGAAAAAGCGCGAAACACGGAAGTAAACGCTTTACTCCAAAGGTTCGTTTTTGTACAGAAAATCTAGGGGTTTTATATTATTTTAGATGTCCTTGGGTTTCCGGAAAATTCTGGAATGCTATTAACATAGTAGCAGTATGAGTATTTATCTAATCAGAAACTCGACATGCGACTTTTCATTTTCTAGATGTTTTTGGCAGAACTTCTAGTGAATGCTGATTGAAGTACTTGAGCGTATCAACAGCTTCACTTGTCTTGGTAGTCTTATCAGTCCTAATGACACGGTGTCTAACAAAATCTGTACATGGATTTAGAAAGCGCGATTGACTTTTTCCAACTTCTATCACATGTGGTGTTGGGGAGTAATACATATCAACTAAAGAATGAGTTTACTGTGCAGCAGTTTGATTTATTTTACTTCATGAGTGTGAAACAAGACCATTAAAAAGAGAGGATATTCGTAGGTCATACGAAGCATTGCTCGTGAATTTTCAGAACCACCTAAGTAAACAATACCTGGTTAGGAATAAGACACCAGATAAATATGGTAAATCGATAGATAGGTTGGTAAATCTTCATCAAATGAGGTGTTTGAGACATGCGTTACGTATCCCCAATCTCGACGGAGAGTGTTTTCTCGTCTAGAAGCGGGCTGGAAGAAAGTTAGGGGCGGCAGAGTCAAAACATATTATCAGTCCATGAAGTCACTGACAATCGGAATGAGCCATATTAATGGGTGTAGACTACCTCGTTGGGATCTGCATGATAATCACAACCAGTGGTCAGAGACTTTCAACGACATCTCAAAATCGTTGGAAATAACACAAATCCATCCACTATTTATCTTCCCTCAGATTCTAAGCTTCTGAATTCCTCATGATCCTATAATTTGTACTTTTTTGAATCATATTTTCGATGCCTGATCATTTCTATTACCAATAATAATGTTACCACCTCCACTTTTCTAGAATTCACTCTAATAATTTCATCTCGCTGGGCTAATGGGGAGTAGGGATTTGAAACGATGTAAATACGTACTAGGTTCCAAGTTGCGACTGGCTCCAAAGGATTGGTGGATCTTATTCATAAAGGGAAATCGTTATGAACAACACAACATGAGATCATGGAAAAAATAACAACAGGAAATGAGAATGAATTTAATTGAATGAAACATTGAGATAAACTGTCTAGTAAAATTAAAGGATATCGTTTCGACTAATAGAAGTGGAATCCACAATAAACATCTCCTAGTTAGTGTGTTCACTAATATTTGAAATTAGCATAAATCGCAACTGGTACTGCGTTATGTTAGTTGTCACTTGTGGAACGATCATTTATTTCTACCCAACTGTGTGTGCTCTTTTTATCGGCTTATTAGGTAGAATCGGTCGGGCTTACGCTGCGTCAATTTATTATGAGGATTTCATGACACTCATCAATTAAATCATGACATCATTTCGGCAAAGTTTTGTGATGGAAATTTGTCATTCCAATTCATGCTTATTCAATTGTTAGATGCATGAAAACTAAAATATGCTGAATAGAAATTCGAATGTAAAAGTAATCAACATCCTAATAAGCCCAACATAATTTAACCACTACTCTAAAATCTAGAATTAAATAACAATAATCACAGTACATGTGAGAATTAATTTATATAATATTAACCTTCAGGTTTAATCTGGTTGAATGATTTTTGTGACATCAATCCTTAAATCCTTATTTTAAATTTGAGACAAAACATCGGCTACGATGAGTGAAATGCTAAATTATCGACCCAAGCGTTTACTATATTAAAAAGCCAATCTGTTTTCTTTGCAAGGCACAACGATAAAACATTCAATTATTGAGATAAAAATGAATTTTATTTTATCACTAGGACTTCTATTTTTGTTCTAAGAGTATTTGACTCGTAACTAAAATGGTGAACCTGATGTTCAACATCTAGTGCACGAACTGAGCAAAGAAACTGTTATGATGAAATGGAAGATATTTCTCACCTTGTGTTTGTGAACCGGTTGAGACAAATTTCTTATATCCCAACCAGCAATATATTGATCACTGCTGCCAGTGATTAGGTGAACGTTAGAAAAAGATTGTTTTGGCGAATGGTTTAGGTCAGCAGGTGGTGAATTAGTTTGTATATTCAGTTGGTCACAACTTATTTCGTCTGAATTACACTTTGCGGGAAATGATACAGGACTGGGTTCACGACTGTCCAGTACAACAGTTTCCATTTCAAATGGATCAATCGTACAGTCTTCAAAATTTTCTTCACTTGCTGTTACAGACGACAACTCTGAATGATAATCATATTCTACATATATCTGGTCACAGTTATCACCGCTACCACTAATACAGTTTTTCATAGAAGAAGTACAGCTTCTTGAAACAGTTGAACGCAAACCATTTTCATATATAGCATCTATGCAAAGAACAGCGTTTTTATGACACAAACGATTCGATGGATTTTGTTCAAACGAACGTATATCCAATAGATAAACATTTCGATCATGTGTACCAACTGCCAAAGTATTGGAATCCAAAAAGCTTGAACACAGTACAGGAGTGCCTAACCTGTAGGTAGTAAATGAATGGACAAAACGCACTATCGTCTACTACAAAGATTCAATAGAACAGTAATGCGATGATAGAGGATAATAAAAATTTATGAGCAGTTATATTTATCTTAAAAGGTAATAAACACTCCTATTAACCCAATTGTGCTAACCAACAAGTAACAAGCAATATAACTTTTAGATCATAAATTGCACAACGTGATACTTTCAAAACGTGTTCGCATCGAATAAACAATAATAAAGCACAGTGGATTAAAAAAACTTATCTGACAGTAGCGAAACACAGAATGCACTCAGATGATTAGATTGTCACTAACTTCAAGTACAATGCTCAAGCTGACTTTTTATGATATAAAAAACTAAAAAAATCATAATAAAGGAACAAAGTGACTATAAAAAACAACCTATTATCATTTACTTTTCGTAGCACTTACTGATAAATTGATTGGAATGCGAGGCCAGAATTTGTCAACTTCCAAACTCTTAAAGCACCATCCCATGAACCTGTTATGACAGCATCATCTGTTGAATTTATGGTCCATATCCAACCCTGAAATATAATTATCAAACTAAATGAAGTATTTCTTTATTTGAACACATGAAGATTGGTCCAGGTAGGCACCAAATATATGCACCACACAAAACAATGAGAATCGTAAGAGAAAAAAAGGAAAGTAAGGAGCGTAAAAGAAAAACAAGAACAATAACGAACAGATTAGTATAAGGTAGTGTAATAATAAAAATGATAATAATAATAATAATAATAATAATAATAATAATAATAACAATAATAATAGAGGAAACGGAAAGGTACACTCAGAAGAAATCACACAGTTACAGAAGATACAACCACTTTTTATGAAGGAAGTAAACGAAGGTTACAGCAAGATCGACACTCCTTCTATTCAGAGTCATTCCTCATAGCATCACTAGCCACTGTGTTGCACCATCTCTCGGACCCCAACCAGAGAGTCGTGAAGGACAAACAGAAGCCAGCCCTTTGCAGCTTCCTTTCATACCACGACACTATGTCATAACACTGACCACCTCTTCGAATTTTCTGACCAGTCCCAGCGTCGTCAAGTAATGCACGACGTGGAATTTGCTAATACGACACTCGAAAAACATGTCCAAGCCACTGAAGTCGGTGTTTCAAGATAGTGACACCAATTGGATTATCGTCTCTGTGCCCGAACACATGATGCTGAATTTCTGCATTACTAACATGATGTTGCCACTGGCTGTCAGCAATCCTTCGGAGACAGCGATGATCGAACACAGATAGTCGTGTAACATCCTCAACTCGGAGAGGCCAGATCTCACAGGCATAGAGCAGAACTGCTCTTACCGACGCGTTGTAGATCCGACCTTTTACAGCCAGACTAAGATCACGAAGGCGCCAAAGATGGACCAAATTGGCATAAGTCGCTCACACCCAGACTTCTTGTTGCCTGTGCCTCGGATGAGTTGGAAGAGCTTTCGGTAGTTACCAGATGCAGATACTGCTTCCAAATCATTAGCACGCTACGGCCACCAGGTTTCTCGGTCCTTACAATAAAACGTTACAGAAAAAGATGATGGAGTATACAGATACCTATTTTACTAAGGCATTTCATTTTTATTATCACCCAGAAATCAACAAAACATTTTGTTAATAACAGTTCGGGACCTGGTAGTAAAGTAGAAAAAATAAAGATTCTTTTATTATGGATTTTGTCTTTAATTTCCTCAACCAATATTTAAATAATAATTTTTACTCACTAATAAGTAAGATATTCATGTCCACAAATGGAGCAGTTCCAGGAATCTATTTTTCGAAGTGTGGGTTGGTAGTTAACAATAAGTCACTCAGTCAGTGGGCAACAAAGTAGGACCACGCACATATACGCATCGGTCCAAGTTGCCACACCTCATTAGCACAACAAGATGAACACCAAATTCATAGAAGTAGTCACTTCAATGGTAGTAATATATAAAAGAAAGGTTGCACGTAATGATATAAAACAGGGAGAAAGAATTAATTTGTAGAAAGAAAGATATGAAGCGATTTTAATCTCATGGTTTGAGAGAAGACGAAGAATGTATACACCGACGCCATTGTGATCGATTCTGAGCCATGCCACCCACAGTCTCCAACCGCTGGTTACGATATTCGCGCGGACACCAACCAAGTAGTCTACATCTACCAACATGACTCAGACCAGAAGTTAGTGACTTCAAGCGCTGATGCCACGTTTTCCTTTGGCCGCCCCCAACTTTCTTCCAACCATCCCCAACACCGGTTAGCATTGCGCGTCGTAGTAATCGGTGTTCAGGCATACGCAACACGTGACCCAACCATCTCAGTCGATGAAGATTCACAACCTCATCAACTGATTTAGCATCATTCCCCAATACCCTACGTCTAACCTCACTATTACTTACCTGGTGAGCCCAGCAGATACCAGTATTATTTCTAAAACATCTGTTGTCAAATACTAGTAGCTTGCAAGTATCTTCTACCCTCAATGGTCGCGTTTCGCAGCCGTAAAGTAGAACAGATCGAACTGCTGCGCAGCATACTCGTCCCTTAATTGAGAGACGGATATCTCACCTTTGCCATAGGTGACGTAAGTTGGCAAACGAGCTTTTCGAGTCTGTGCAGATTTCGTCGGACACCAACCCATTACGGCTGATCAGACTTCCAAGATAAGTGAAGTTGTCAACGCGTTCGACTACTTCACTCCCTATCCTTAGTTCAGGTGTTGACACGGACCAGTCCTGAAGCAACAATTCGCAATTAGAGCGAGAGAAACGCATCACAAACATCCTGGGCATTTTATCAGCGTCTTCACCAAACCGAACTATATCATTGCGTATTCTAAGTCGATAAACGGATCTCCTGGTAGGAGATCAATTCCCGGAAATTCAGTCAACGAGAACATTGTTTCCATCAGTAGGTCTATGATGAAATTGAACAAAAATGGAGATAGTGGACAGCCTTGACGGACACCACTTGAGGTTGAAAAATCAGATGATAGTTCGCCATAACCTCTGACTAAACTGGTAGTGTTCGAGTAAAGAGCCTTGACAAGGTTTATGCACTTCTGAGCTACACCTTTCAACGACACACACTGCCACAGAACCTCTCGGTCAGCAGAGTCAAATGCTGCTTTTAAGTCAAGAAAGACCACCATTGTCGGACGCCGATAAGCATGCCTGTGTTCTCAAACCTGACGAATGGTGAATATGTGGTCGATGCAGCCACGACCATGTCTGAAGCCAGCTTGGTTCTCTCGTGTTTGCAGTTCACGAGTCTTAGCTAGGCGCTCGATAATTATCGAGGCTAGTATTTTAGATACTATATTAGTTAAACTAATCCCTCTATGGTTATCACAGGATGATTTTAACCCTCTCTTATGTATTGGGACAATCAGTGATTGCAACCAGTCAGATGCGATTACGTCCAACTCCCAGATTTTAGCTAAAATGTTACTCAACTTAATCGCTAAAATTGGACTACCACACTTAAAGACCTCTGGAGCCAATCCATCTGGACCAACTGCTCTTCCTCGTTTCAGATTAGCTATAACCTCTTGAACTTCAGCTAGAGTTGTGGGACCTACTTCAATGTTCCATTCAGGCTGTCTGGGAATGTTGAGTAGATGCACAGGGTAGCTGAGGACTAGCTGAACTGTCTCTCAGTGTTCCGCCCACCATTCTAAACGTCTGGGCTGGGAGCAGATAAGAGTGTCGTCTTTTTTCGAGATCGTCTCACACATGACTTCTTAATTCGTTTCTTTTATTAGTTTGAAGAGCTGTCTAGTGTTATCTACAGCCTCTGCCTATTCCATCTTTTTGCTTTCGTTGCCCACCACTGCCCACGGTCGTTCCTTAGACTTTTGGTTAACGTAGATCTGATTTGTTCTCATTCTTCATTGTCTTCAGAGCCTGACGGGATGAGTTTACGAGAATCTATCAGTGCAATAAACCTAGTAGAAATTCATTGGTTTTCCATAACCCTTTGGTTTAAATTACTAATAGATGTTGCTGTTGTTTCCACAGCTGTTTGTTTATCTTCCTAAGCAACATCTGGGTCGGCCTCGTTTTCAGGACTATTTAAGTGTGACCTCAGTTGTTCCTGGATTCTACTTTTAGCTTTCTCGTAACTGAGTCCAATTCTAATGGGTCTTCTTAGTGTAGTTTTTCTGCGTCCAGTGCAAAATAAATAGCTACTTCATCCATTGCTATGTCTAAATGTTCGGTGGAAGAACATTATAGAGTGCAGACCGCTAACAAGATAACTAAAGCCATGTGAATTTTTAAAGCTACAAAGTAACTATAAACGAAATTTCTGTTTTTACATGATTAAAACGAACTTAATATGGATGATATCAGTTATTATTAAAATAAAAACCATTGTATTCGAGGAAACTAACCACATGCTTTTCTTTATTATCGTGAAGAGACCACGAACAAAGATTTGAACAGAACATAAATTTATTCTATCTCGTTAGATTTTCGTCAACTGCTTACAACCTATAGTGTTCGCAAATCATAATTACAAAATGTATTGAAATTATGTATATGAGTTTGGTTGGAAGTTTTGAACACACATCAGTATACAATAGTAAGGATGTAAAACTTAGATTATATAAAAAAACAAATATATATCTTATGTGGAAGGGCTCTCTACAACGTTTATAGTAACAAAAGACTGAAGAGCTAGAGAAAAGTTATTACACAATGATCGGACACTGATAAAAAGCAGAAATAAATTGAGTAAAGCTCAATTGTTTAAATGAAACTACTGATCTAGAAGAGGATTAGAAAGAGAAACAATGATATAATCAATTGAGATTTTAATAATATTTCATGTCCTAACGAAGTGATATTTGTGCCAACAAGGCAGAGAAAGATTAATAATCGTGCCTTTCTAAACATATAAATTAGGTTTTTTACTCCTAGTAGCGAATCTTCCAGAAGACTTTGGAAGGCTGGAGCTTGGGTGTTCATTAAATACCTTGAAAAATTTCAAGGTATCAGCTTGATGTCCAAGAGATGCTTGGTGATTGCGCTACTCAACATATTCCTCCCTCTTGGTCGGAGGCTTTTTGAAACAATTCCAAAAAACTTTGGCGATATTCTCTCCATTCTGTTTAGCCGGTGTAGCTGTTCATTTATATACAGAATTGGTGGAGTATATATCGACTTTAGACTGAATTACTGAGAAAGTTATTCTATACAGGACAAAATTTGGTTGCAGGGCAGGTTCTGGCTAATGAAGCGTTAGGCCTTCTGCTGGTTGTGCTTGCAACGTCATCACCTTTCAAGTTGAGATGAGTAAACAAAGGTTTTTTATTGACTATAGCAACATCCAACTTGTCATTAGTTTTTTTAATATTTATCAATGAATTTCTATGGACACAAGTTGTCTTCAAGACACTTTTTGATGTTAACCAATTCTTCTTCCAGTTTGTCAGTGACACATACTATTTCTACTCTATAAAAGTATTCTGATCAATGCCTTTTTGTAACAGATTGGACATAAACTATCAGAATTCAAGTATAGACCATTCCAAGTACTTTTTCGATAAACCGAACATTGAACTGTGTCGCCTGCAGTCTGTAGTATGATATTGCCAAGAAGGTGAAGCACGTCGTTCTTTTTGTGCTTCGTAGAAAGTCATCTGTTGTGATGAGCCTCATTAAAAAGTTCTAACAGAAGAATCACGAACAATGAACCTGTTATTAACATATCGCGAGTATTCCGTCATTGTACTCACCGCTTTTTCAAGTCCTGTGTTTTCAAGATAGCCCAAAAAAGATCTACCACAATTGAAATTCTCATTGCAACACCGTCATTTTGATGGTACATAGTGTTGTTAAACTAAAGTTGAATGCCTTTTGTGTATATAATTAGCAATCATTTGAATTGACACCGATAACAGTAGCTCAGAATGTTGGCCAATTATGTTAGTGGTTTTAAGAAGTGATATTTTGGTGAACAAGTGTATTATGTAAAAAGCAACCATCGACTTACTAGAAACTTTTGCGTGATTTAGCTTGTCAGTAAATTATGATGAATATTTAAATGTATTTGCTTTTGGCTTTAACTTCTCTGCTAGTCAGCATACAACTTTATGAAACGGCGAATCGATCACTGACAAAATAGGGCTCAAGGGAACAGTGTGTTTGTAGATCAGTGGTAAATATTACACGTTGTAAAAAGCTGACGAAATGAAATGAAGTTATGTTATTATGCTCAAATCTTTGGTCTCAGTCTCTTCATAATTAACTACTACAGATAATTTTAAAAAAATACTAAATTATACTTTCTGAACACATACTAAAGACAACGTAAAAAAAGAAATATATGCCTGTGTTTTCCTACGAAGTTCACTCAACTATCAAACATCGAATAATATTTATAAGTGCTTAGCAGTGTATGTGCCTCCTCGTTAAATTATTCAGTCGCATGAAGAGAATAAAGCTTATATTTTATATTTCAATCAGTTGTTGGATTGTGTAAGGTATTTTAAATCATATGAAATTATTAATCAAAATAATGACTACTTGAAAAAAACTTACAGAATGACTATGATATTCAGTGAATACAGGAAGCCATGAATTAGAAAACAGTCCAGCCTTGAATGAAAATATTGACACCACTCGACCTCTATCACCCATTATAAGTAAATCTGGATGTTTCTGGAATTAAGATTATCAAAAAAATCTCAATGGATACCAGGGGAATATGTAAAGCGTCTATCCCGTGGCTGACCACGTTCAACTTGGATAGGCGAATGCAATCAACTGAATTTTCCCCGAAGTTTATACAGCACTTTTCTCGTTCAAAACTTGCCGATGCCCAATCTATGATCTTTTCTACATTTGGTACAAATCAGAATACACAAACAAAATAACCTGGTAAACAAGGGTAAGTTCCATTCCAAAGACTTTGCGAGCGCCATTTCCAATACGACTGCCGATGTAACCAGTGACAAAATTGTGCACACACAGAACATAGTGAAATAAGATCGTTAATCCGCAAATAAGAGCAAATTTGATAAAATAAATCCTGAGGTAAATCTCTGATTTCAACCATTGATTGCAAACACAGCAAAAGTTAAATACGCGTCAATATTTCCAATTCAAAATAACGTAACCTCTGAAACAAATGTAAATCATAAAGAGCATTTCAGTAAAAACAACTCAATAGAAAAACCTAATAAAAGTATATGGATAAAAAAATGTTACGGATGGGTAAATACATCTTAAACCAGACAACGAATACCACAGAAAACGGCATCAAGACCTTCTATTCATTGATATAATATCAATAAACAATCTAGCTTCAACTCTTCGACGAGGTGATGGGTAACCCTGTTTCAAATTTGATGGCATGTCCAGCTTTATTGTAACGATATAACGTACTCTATACTAAATAAAGCTTGTAACTTCACTATCTTTAACAATTCAATTGCCCCCCGAAATCCTGGTACTACCGAAGGTGGGGAGAGATCACGTTCTCTCTACAAATGCTTTCACATGGCCTCACATAGACAGCTACTGCCGGAAAGTCCTACTCACTACCTTCTTGCGATGGGTGTCGTTTACGAAAATGAGAAGACGAAAAGTGAATGTCCGGCGCTTTTACCGGATCCCAAACCAATGGTGCACATGGGCTCCAGTATCCTGGGGGAACAAATAGCGTATGTGATGAACCAATCGTTGGTCACCGGCTACCAAGGGATTGCATCTCCTCACGATGTTCCACTGCCTTGTGGATTAGACCTTTAGGTTAAAGGCTCGGGGAGTGGCCTCCTAAGATAACCACCTGCTTCGGTCTGGGCATCCGGGCAGTATCAGCCCACACACAAATAAAGTGAAGGTGAAAATGATTATATTTACTGAAAATTCTATTCACGCCTCAATTGACAGTCAAACAATTCACATTATTATTATTTACCACGTCACTTATTCACTCTCTTTTATTCCCACTTTATGTATCCTTATTTTTCGACTTATACAGCAGCTCGCCTATGGTGGAAACTCGATTCTATCTAAACGTTCTCGAGTCACTACCTGGTGGAAAATTGTATGCTACCACCAAATACGAATACTGAAGCAATTTTTCTGAAACCACATGCACCACTCAAACTAGCTGCCTTCAACGTTCGCACACTTATGCAGGTCGGACAACAGATAGGGTTGGCTATATCTTTGCAAAGTCTTAATATCGACGTTTGTTGTCTATCCGAGACCCATATTCAAGACTCTGGTGAAGTACTACAAATTCGCTCTCCATCTGTCGCTTCAAAAAGCTTGTTTCACGTGCGTTTATCCGGGGACCCTGTGGCATCTTCGTCTGGTCTTGCTGGCGTTGGTGTTGCACTAAGCACTAAGTGCGTTCGACAGATACTGTAGTACTAACCGGAGACTTGAATGCTCAGGTCGGGCGTCTAGGCACAGAAGAGAATCGTTTAGGTGGCCGATGGGGACTTGTTGGTCGCAGGACAGATAACGGGGACCGTCTACTGCAACCGTGCACAGACCACAACCTGTTTCTCGCTAGCACTAACTTTCGGCACAGTCATCACCGATGTGCCACCTAGTGTCCTCCCCCTGCATCTCAAGCCTGAACTCAGATTGATCACATCGCGATCAGCTACCGCTGGCATGGTTGTGTACAAGACTGCCGCTCCTTTTGGAGTACCTATCTGGACTCTGATCATGTCCTGGTCTGCGCCAATCTTACCTTACTTTTCAGTGGCCAACGAAGTGACCGCCACTAAAGGATTGATGTCAGCAAGTTGGTTGCAACTTCTGTTGCTACTAAGTATCGCGCCAAGCTAGCTTCTAGGCTACCTACCATTCCACTGAAAAGTATAGATGAGCATTGGTTACAACTGCACGGCACCATGGGAATGGCGAGTAAAGCCGCTTGAGGTTTTGCGAAATGTCCAGCTTATAAGCACTGGGTTTCTTCAGGCTCCTTACAACTCATTGAAGCCCGTCGGTCTACTCCGGGTAACCCTGAGTTTGACAAGAAACGACGACTGTTACGTAATGAAATCGAGCAAAGCTTGCGTAAGGACCGAGAAACCTGGTGGTCGTAGCGTGCTAATGATTTGGAAGCAGTATCTGCATCTGGTAACTACCGAAAGCTCTTCCAACTCATCCGAGGCACAGGCAACAAGAAGTCTGGGTGTGAGCGACTTATGCCAATTTGGTCCATCTTTGGCGCCTTCGTGATCTTAGTCTGGCTGTAAAAGGTCGGATCTACAACGCGTCGGTAAGAGCAGTTCTGCTCTATGCTTGTGAGATCTGGCCTCTCCGAGTTGAGGATGTTACACGACTATCTGTGTTCGATCATCGCTGTCTCCGAAGGATTGCTGACAGCCAGTGGCAACATCATGTTAGTAATGCAGAAATTCAGCATCATGTGTTCGGGCACAGAGACGATAATCCAATTGGTGTCACTATCTTGAAACACCGACTTCAGTGGCTTGGACATGTTTTTCGAGTGTCGTATTAGCAAATTCCACGTCGTGCATTACTTGACGACGCTGGGACTGGTCAGAAAATTCGAAGAGGTGGTCAGTGTTATGACATAGTGTCGTGGTATGAAAGGAAGCTGCAAAGGGCTGGCTTCTGTTTGTCCTTCACGACTCTCTGGTTGGGGTCCGAGAGATGGTGCAACACGGTGTTTAGAGACGTGATCCTGTCGTAACCTTCTTTTACTTTCTTCATAAAAATTGACCGTAACTTCTTTAACTGAAAGAATTCTTTCTGGTTGTACCTTTCTATTTCCCCTATTATTGCTACTATTTCATTACCGTATACCAATTTGTGGTTTTTATTGTTCTTTTTTTCTTTGTACATGCACCTTACATCCTTTATCTCTTCCCATTTTCATTATTATTGTGTGGCGCATATGTATCTGGTGCCCGCTTGTACCAACATTTATGTGTTCAAATGAATAAATAATTAATTAATGGTGAAATGGGTTCTTGGAAAATCCCTTGTTTCGAATGGAATATATTTAAATGGACTTGAATTTCGACTCAGTAATGTTCGGAATATAAGTGGCTGGTTTTCTGAGCAACTCCTACTGATTGCTCTACAAATATCCATAATCTTCTCAGCACCTCTATATTTTTTTTTAAAAACGTAGGACATATGTTCTTCGGTTTGTTTAATTCCTCAGATTTTAGAGGCTTGGATGTTAAAGAATAAGATGGATTAATAAGAATCCAGTCGCCATTCGTTGTTATTCAGTAGCCCCGCTGATTTACACGGGCCGAGTCGTACATTATCGGTTACCATAGAAATAATTACAGGAAATACAAATCGTTTTACTAAGTAGAGGTTCATACACTCGGTTTTATGACATGGTGTCGTGGTATGAAAGGAAGGTATACGGGACTGGCTTCTGTTGGTCCTTCACGACTCTCTGGTTGGGGTCCGAGAGATGGTGCAACACATTGGCTAGAGACGTTATCAGATATGGCTCAGAATAGAAGCCAATGGCGATCCTGCTGTAACCTTCTTTTACTTTCTTCATAAAAAGTGGTTGTGTCTCCCTACCTGAAAGATTTCTTCTGATTGTACCTTTCCGTTCCCTCGTTACTACCACACCACCTTACACCAATCTCTTCGTTAATGTTCTCTTTTTCTTTTGCGCTCCTTAGTTTTTCTTCTATTTCTCTTCGAATTCTCATTGTTTTGTGTGGCGCATATATATTGGCGCTCTCTTGTACCAATATTCATGTATTCAAATAAATAAATAAATAATGGATAAGTAGTTGTAGTAATTAATTCTAAAGCTATAGTAATTATGGCTACTGTAATCACTAAATTTAAACGTCACAGGTTCGAACTCCACTCTAAAATAGTTTCAAAGATAGGATAAAATCAAAATCCCCTACAAATTGTCGCAAAGTCGAGTACAAAACCTTACTTTTGAGAACAACCAACTCTAAATTTAGCAGAAAGCAACTAAGTCAAGGGGTTTGTCTGCTTCTTATAGAAAACAAAGGATTTTTAAACTCGTGTTTTTTTGTTTTGTAGTAAGTGACACGAGTTATGTTGACATGGCATACACAAAATATATAGACCAACCTAGCAGATTTTGGTGCGAAATCAATTCTTGAACTTTAGTTTCTGTCAGTTCGTGATGAAAACCCTAATAATTCATATACATTCGCTGAAAATTCGTTTCAAAACTGTTTATCAATCATAATTGTTTTATAATCAATGTTAACTCGGCTGAAAAGTGGTTTAAGGCTGTGCATATACTTTACTTCTACAGAAATACGATTAGCATAAACCATAGACACATGGATAACTGGAACACATGTATTACAATGGTCCACTCACCTTAGCATGATTAATTATTCATTGAATTAGCCATGGTCGGAAAGCTGAAAAACAGAAAACAGACCTCATAAACCCAAGTTTGTACGGAACAGTCAAAGCTCTTCAAAGACAGTGAAAGTGTTGAAAAAAAAGTATTGTGTTTGATCCGACCAGCTGTTTGAAATTACAATTGAAGATCCTGAAAATTGTTCACTTAATTAGTGTCCAACTACAATCGTTCAATCAAAGATATCGATTTAACCAATCAATTTTATAAAAATAAAAGCTTATTTGTTTCTTACCGTTGCTAATGTTACACTGCTCTTTTCTCCTTTAAGCGGTATCCTCAATCACCTTCAGGAAACACCACAGGAAAATTTTCCTTTTTGCCAAGAACGCAACAACCTTACCGGAGTGTGGTAATAGTTCGGCAGGAGTGCAGTAGTAATTTAACAGCAATGTCAAACTGAAGCGTTCTGGAACACAAAATCACAACAGGATACAAGTTAATTTTCCTCCCTCACTTCGGGATCTGAAACGAAATCAAACAGAACATAACCATAAAGTAATTTAACAATAACTTATGTGTAAACTTCAGTAAGCCAAATATCATTTAGGGTCATTTGACGGTTTTTGGAGATTATAATGGACTGTCATAGGTAGTCAGGAATGGTCTCTTATTTCACGTGTATGTTCTGAAAACACTGGTTATTTCATAAGGGTCCATTAATTCTCTGTGTAGTTTAGTAATTGGCCCTCCCAGTGGGTTTTTGTTTCTAAACATACATACATCATACTCCCTTTTATGTTTGTGCCATCCCCAAATGTGTTAGAGCCATATTATGAAAACTTATTGTATCCTCTCTGAACTTTATAACCATACTTGATGCTAATAAGGGATCTTGCCAAATCCCTTAAGTTTGGGGAAACCTCCAAAGTCAAATGACCTTCACCAAAGTTTGAGGAAATATTGGGGAATTTCCCAGATCTGAAGAAATTTTTGGGTTTTGGTGCCTTTGCCCCAAGGTTTACTATGTCGGCTTCTCCGAACTTTCACCAAAATATGTCAAATTTTCCCCAGAATTGGGAGCTCGAGGGGTGCATTGCTGATGACAACAAACTAGCCGGAAGTCTGACTACTTCCTGTCCGCAGTAAACAAGATGTTTCTAGTAAACGTACGAGCATTGCCCCGATATACCAGTAAACATAACTTTACTACTAAGTGCAACGATTAGGATTCCTCCAGATTATTTTCAGTTTCAGTTTGGGAAGGACAGGAGGCTTGATCACCTGCGTTAGCCCTGGCAATGGTGGTCCCTCAGTTGATCCAACTTTCTTTTGAATGAATCGACGGATAAAGCCTCAACCACGTGCTGAGGTAATGAATACCGCTCGTTGATGATTCGATGGGAACGTCGATAGTCAGCTGACAAGTAATTTGTTCTTGGCTTGTGAACTTTTTTGGAGTGTCCTCATAAATTCTCGGTTTTGGAAGACAAGAAAAATGAGGGCATATCAGGTGCAAATTTGGCACTAAGCAATTTGAAAACTGAAATCAGGTCGCCTCTAGTTCTGCGATATGACAACGGGAAAAGGTTTAGCTTGGCCAGTCGAGCTTCATACGGAAGCTTCGCTATTCCGGGAATCAACTTAGTTGCCGTTTTCTGAACATTTTCCAGAAGCTCACTGTCTTTTTTTAAGCAGGGGCTGGCCGCTTGTATCCAGTACTCAAGTTTAGGACGTACGAACACTGTATACAAAGTCAAAAACGTCTTGGCGTCGACATGACTATAAGCCCTGCGTATTGACCATAACGTTCTAAAACCTTTGGCGGCTATTGCACGGCAGTGTGCAGTAGTCTTTAAGTCTTGGCTAACGATGACTCCTAAGTCATTATATGTCTGGACGACAGGTAGCTCAGTGTAATTCATCGTGTATGTATCTGTACCTTGGTGACCGATATGCATCACAACACACTTGGAAGTATTTATCGGCAACTGCCAGGTTTGAGACCATTCAGATAATTTCTTCAGGTCATTTTGGAGTTCTAAGCTATCACCCTCACATCGTATCGTTCTCCATATCTTGACATCGTCAGCATATAGCAAGACCAATGATGATAGGAGACGAGGAAAGTCATTAACATGCAAGAGGAATAGCACTGGCCCCAAAACTGTACCCTGGGGCACTCCACTAAGCACAGTTTCCCAGCTAGATAACTTTGAGTTCACCCTTACTCTTTGTTGACGCCCAACTAAGAAGTCTTTTATCCACATCAATAAATTGCCTCCAATCCCGACTTTTCTTAACTTATATAACAGCCGGTTGTGCGGAACTTTGCCAAAAGCTTTGTTGAAATCAATGAAGGCGACGTCTGCAGGTAGATTTTGGCCCTTAAGAGCGCACCAGCTTTCACGAGCCACTAATAAGTTAGTGAGACAAGAGTAACCTATTCTGAAACCGTGCTGCTTCTCCGAGAGGACCGGGTTTTTATCGAGATACTTAAACAGCTCCTTCCGAATAATCTTTTCTATGATTTTAACAGCCACACTAGTTAGGCTAACGGGGCGGTAATCCTCAGGTTTGTGTTTCGTACCTGTTTTGGAGACAGGACTTACTATGGCGTATTTTCAGTCTTTGGGTAAACGACCCTGCGTTCCGAATAGGTTAAAGCATATACTTAAAGGGTTCGCAACGAAGTTAGATAATTCCTTCAGTAGCCTAGGATGCAATTCATCGGGCCCCGTGGATTTACCTATGTCAAGCTTAGTTAGTAGGCCAAAGACATCGAGTTCTTTAATGGTCACGCTATCCAGTGTATGTGTGGGGGGATTTGTATGCGCCGATGGGAAGGGTGCCTCTATGGTGTATACATTGCTAAAGTAGTTTGAGAACACTTGAGCCTTACCAAAGTCGTCCTCCACTAGTGACGCGGTAGCACTGTCTCCCCAGAGAGCAGGAATATTTCCTCTGCTCTTTGTCCTTTGGTTTATATAAGAATACAAGCGTTTAGGACATTCTATGGATTCCTTAACAATCTTTTCTTCGTACAACTTTCTAGACTTACGGAGGGTCGAGGCACAGGTATTCCGGACATTTCTATACTGGGATTTAGTTTCATCAGACCCCAGTAACCTAAATCTATCCCACATTTTTCTTCTCTTACGGAGAAGGATGCGAACCTCTCTGCTGAACCATGGTGGGGTGTTTCTCGGCCCCCTTGGTATAGTCCAAGGGATGTGGGGTGTGATAACTTTTAAGTATGAATTTCGAAATGCGTCTCAGGCCATTTCAACTGAGGACCCTGAGTTTATTGTCCAATCTACTAACGATGCTGAGTGCATGATATCTGGTATATCCAGACGTTAGGTCTGGATTGGGCTGACGCGTGCTCGTGACTGACAGTTATATGGAAGTCGAAAATTAAAACTGCGTGATCACTTTTACCTAGGGTTCGCATGTAATGGAGGTTTGCAACGTCATCTAGTCGCTTCTTTCACATGTTGCACTAGAGCGCATGTGCTAACCGCATTAACTAGTTCCTGCTCGAAGGAATTTTCTGACGACTCAGTTCGCAGATTTTCCCAGTCTACTATAGGTGCATTAAACTCCCCTAGGATTAGACATCGACCACTTTGTGACCAAGTATTGAAACTGCTTAGCAGGACTTCATTTACCTGACAGCTTGGACTGCGATAGACCAAACCAATCAGCAGCTCTTGTCCCTTGCATTTCAAGCGGAAACTAACTAATTCACACGTCCCACTCTCATGGGATACACTGTGGATAATGCCAAATGGGATAGCATTTCTAATGAATAGAGCTACTCCCCCTCCCTCACGCTTTTGTATTCTGTCGGCCCTTACTAACGTAAAACACTCGAAATCAAGTTCCATACTATCTATAGCCTGTCAGCCAGGTTTCTGTAACTGCGATTATGTCTGGCTTCGTAGAGTCAATCTGTACACTTAGTTCCGATCGCTTATTAAGCAAGCTCCGGGCATTAGTGTAGCAGATCCGAAGCCTATTTAAGTGGCTTCGGCATCATTCTCTGTCGAAGCCTTAAAACCCGAAAATTTACAATTTTTAGGTCCTTTTAGCCAGCGTCTAGCATAAGTTGTAGTTCTTTTTCGGCTTCCCGTCTTTTTACAAGGTCTGCCAACGGTAAGTCCTTTCGTATAAAGACTCCTGAACACTTTAATTTGTATCCATTCTGTAAAATTAGGTCATGTTCGTTCGAAGAGTTGAATACTACTTTAAGCAGTCTGGAATGATTTGGTTTCAAGTCCTCTAGACTCCCTAGTCTGTACACCTTTAGCAAGGTGACCCCAGCGATATTTTGAGGCATGAGTTGATTAAGCAGCTGCTTAATCAGCACAATGTCATGCTCAAAACGAGCTTTAGGTTCAGAGCTCTCGCTCTCCTTGATTTTATGGAAAATAGCTGATCTGTCGCTATGATCAACTTTCGATTTCACGACTACTTTTGCGGAGGTAAGATTGCATTTCATATCGCTTTTTTTCTTCCTTACAACCTGTACCCATCCGTCAACGGTGCTGGGAGAAGCAACAACAGTTGCGTCAGGTAGGTCTCTTTGGAGACTGCTTTTCCTTCTTTACTGGCGTGAGTCATCTTCGACCGAACTAACCTTAGTTTGCCTCATGTCGATTTGTGTGTCGACAGATCGAGTGCTGTTTGACGTGTTTTGACTACGCTTGCTAAAACACTTCTTTGAAGCATCAACCGGTGAGATGGCTTCGGTCAACAGGCTGTTTGCATCCGAACAGCACTGTTGACAAAGCCATACGCAATCCTTCTTACTGAACCGTTTGAAAGCCGCAGCCGTTAAGTTCGTGCAAACTTCGTGGTACTAGCTTTTGCACTCGTCGCACTGCATGCCGCTTTCAACGGGATAAAGACAATCCAAACGTTGGCAACTGCTTTTTTTACACTGTCCGGTCATTTAAAAGAAGCATTCTTGGTCCACTTTAACTTGAAGTATTTCGGTTAAGGTTTGAAATCTCGCTAAACTTGTCTTGTGCAGCCTTCCTCAAATGGTTCTGGATGGAATAGAAGAAGCTTTTGTTTAACGGGCTTCCGTGTCTAGTTGCAGTGAATCACCAATACCTTCAAGCAGGAACCTAGATAAGCTAACGATAATAGATTAAAAGGAAAAAATTTGGCAGATCATAGTAAGATCCTGTCCTTAGTCCTTAAGAATATGTCAGGTTTCCCTTTTAAGGACTCCCGGGAAGTCGCTTGAACTAGCTCAACCGGTAGCAAAGACCAGCACTTGGCTGCTCCTGAGGGGTATAAGGTGTGTCTATAGTCTGTTCTGCTGGGTTGTGACTCCAGTTTTTGGGTATTACCTCTTATGTATATGTTGAAGCTTAACTGAAGTAGGTGTTTAAGGGAAAGTCCATAAGTGCCTAGGATGCTGTAAACTAAAACGCCTATACTCTTATGGGTAAATGTGATTGGAGGCGCTCTTCATAAGGCCTGACTTTGAGTTCCTAAACTGATTCTGTAGCTCGCCGTCGGTTTTTCAGAAGCAGTCAATTCAAGACAGTTTTAAACTTGATGTTAGCTCAACCACACCGAGAGCTTCCGTCCTTCAAGTTACGAAAGTATTGCCGTCTTAGATACACTTGATATAGTATGAATCTTCAATGATATTAAACCGTAGCGACGATCAAAGTTGTAGTAATTTTGAAGCGAATACGAGTTCACTTACTCTGAGAACGGAACAAAGACTCTGTGATCAAAGACTGATAAGCCAGCTATTCTGATGCGTCCCAGCCACACTAACCAGAGAAAGAATTCCATATTTGAAATAGGAAAACACATCCCTTAACCAGCCAGAAGCACGAGCAATAAAAACACGCAGGAACCAAACGTATATATACGGCATAGAATTGTCCATGAGTAGCGTTGAAAAATAGC